CCTTATAAGTACTTGGCACATTAAGGCTCGTAAAAATGTTTTTAATCTAAAATACTTTCATAGTTGTATGTTTATCTAAAAGGACAAATGTCCTTTGAACTAAAAATTTTAGCAACATGTTATTTCATCTTGTTTTAAAGAATATACTTCCGTCTTGTCAGTTTAGCACTTACATCCCATTTGTTAAATTTAGCCAGGGCAGAAGGAAAAAAACTGTGGAGGTCCTTGGTTCTTTAAATCATAGGGTGAGTTATTTTAACCTAAGCTATTTTTTTCTAATTCAGCCCACCCTTGAAGATAAATCTGTGTAATTGATTGCTAAGTGATCCCTATTACTTCATAGCCCATAGGAATGGTATTTACTTATTGGGAGAGAAGAGTTGCCACCGTGATGACTGAAAGTTTTAAATTTGGAGGGCTTAGTGTGCAGCGTTGGAGTGTATGTGTGGTGCTACAATCGCTTCGTAACCCTTACCTGTGTAGTGTACAACAGGATAAGATTTGCTTTTTAACCAGATATTTTGTATCTTGTAAATACAGCTAATCATAGGAATGCCTGTAATATATTCCAAAAGATTCCAGCTGTCTGATAAGAACTGAAAGAATTGGTCTTGATAAAACTTACCAGTTGGTGTCCTGAAGTTTGGCTCCTGTCAGTAGGACGGTGTAAATAGCTGCCTCGACTTCTCTGTAGGAGCTGTAGTGTGCTGTTAGAAGCAGGGTGATTGCTACACCCCAACAACAAAACGCCATCTGCTCTTCGTGGAAGGCGGGCTCTGAAATGCCCCTGGTCCTTCGGTAGTGTGCTGCAGCCTCCCTGGGTTCCAGTCCTGTCTTGGAGCCTGCTCCAGCTGCGTCCCTGGCAGCAGCCCACAGGGTCGCAGGTCACCTCCCCTTACACAGTGAGATCCTGTGGTTTCCCTACCTGGCTGCAATCTCAGTCTCTGAGCATCTATTTTAAGTGTCGTGTTTATCTCACAAATGGCTGCTGTTGGCCAGGCGATTAAGAACATTGCAGAGAACATAAAAGATGGGGTCACCAGTAAGCCCCTCCTATTGTTAGAATTAACAGATTGTTTTCAATTGGAATTTTAGGGCACTGTAATTTGATGAAAATACTTCAAATGGAAATAGAAATAAAAGCAACAATGTTTTTTCTACATGTAAATTTGAATTCATTTAAATTTTTAAATTTGTGAAGGAGTGTCTGCCATACATGTTTATACTCCACATTCTTGATTTCTCGAATTAATGTTTGTGTGTAGATGTGCCTCCACCTGATTTGAAAATTAAAAACTTGTTTCAAATTA